AACTTCCACAAGAACATGAGTTCAGGGATGAACTCGCTGCTAGAGAGCGAAGACTTAGTCGATGTGACGTTAGCCGTGCAAGGAAAGTGCCTGAAAGCACACAAGATGGTGCTGAGTGTGTGTAGTCCCTATTTCAAAGAACTCTTTAAGTCCAATCCGTGTCAGCACCCGATAGTGTTTATGAAGGACGTTTCGTACGAAGCGCTTAGTGACCTTTTGCAATTCATGTACCAAGGAGAGGTGCAAGTTAGTCAGGAGAATTTAACCACGTTTATTAAGACTGCCGAGGCCCTTCAGATTAAGGGACTCACCGCCGACGGCAACGTGAGTATATTTTTTTTTTAGCTTGGAATGTTTCAAAATAATGATGTTTCAAAAGTGTAAGAGTATAGATTATGCAAATTTGTTGTAACGTATGTCCTAAAGGTTTTGGTACAAATATCGTATTTTTTTTTTAGTGAAGAAATTCATTTGCAGACTAACTATTTATAATAAATTACAATTTAACTAAACTATGCCACTGAATTATGTGGAGTGGCCAATTCTGCTCTACTAGATGCAACTTTCTTCGAATGTCCCTCATGAGGTTTTGGATGGTATTCAGATCAATTTCTCTCGGTTTTTTCGTAAATGCGCCATCTTCCCAGCCTCCATGATAAACTTTCTTGACTATTTAAAGCCCCACTCTTCCCACAAAAGGTTGGGATACACCCCTGTTAGAAATTGCGCACCAGACAAGGATTTTATCTGCAAATTTCATTCTATGTTTCATTCTACATTCCTCTACATTGTCCATATAAAATCCGTCGTTTCCCTTCATTTCAGAATTACTCAAAGTGAAATACTCTTAGTCATCTAAAGTAATGAGTTTTCGATTTTTATACACTTTTTCTCATTTCTAATTTATACATCTTGAAGCAAAAACTTCAAAATAAACAAATGTCAACTGACAGTAAAGTAAGTAAACAAACTTTCATTTCCAAAGGCAACTTGATATTATTCTGTTTGTTGAACTTAGAGCTAATGAATTTTGTGCCAAAACTGTCAAGGCCACAATGTTTTCCTCAAATTCAACTTCATGGTCAAGTTTCCTAAATAATACATGATAATTTAGATACTTGAGATATTTTTTGTTTTGTACCAGCTTATAGTAGTGAAACATGATGATTCATACACTGAATTTCTTCGGAAATTGTGAAGATATGTATGGGACGTAATTCTGATTTCACTATATCGTCTAAATACGAGTTGACAAGTTTCTGAAACTGTGAAGCAAGTATTATGCGTTTTTCTTATTTTTCAGGGTTCTGCCGAGAATGAGACTTCCGAAACCCACGAAAAACCTCAACGGCATGTGGAAGAGTACAAACCCATGCCAAGGCCAAAGAACAACCCGCACCCGCAGTAGCACCATCACCTTCAATCAAAAGGCAGAGGCTGTCGTCTGACAACCAGGTACTTGATAATTCATTATAATTTTGACTTTGACGTTCTTATAATATTGCTACGTTAACTGAAAATTTTCAAATATTTTTGGTCCAGATTTTTGAATTTCATTTCTGTATTTACTTGAAACATAATGGTGCCAGGTATTTTAAAATTTGGATCTACGTTAACTCATGTCTATGATTCGAGGAATGAGGTTTTTTTAACATTCTTTGTTGAATATAATACAGGATCTGATTCAGAACGAGAAAATGAAATTCTTGTTTTTATTTTCAGTCGACAGCGTCAATCGCGCGTCGACGCCGATAACGAAGCAGGAGCCTAGCGCGAGTGCTTCAGTCGGTTCGACGTCCCTGTCTCAACCCGAACAGGTTCATTTTAAAATGGAACCTTACGATCAAGGTAGCGGGATATTGGACGAGACGGGAGACGAGACGTTCGGCGACGACACCTTAGGTGAGTCATCAAAACTAATGTTTCGTTTAAAATTCTGAGATTTTCCTTTGAACTGAAAGTGAAGAAATACAACAAAAATCGTGTTTTTAACATGTTAGCTGCCAGTAAAATGTTACCTATAGTCAGGGGCCAACTGGGTTTTAATTTTTGTTTGCCTGGAAATTGCTTTAAATGATACTAAAAGAGATGTATTGCGATTATCGAATATTTTATTATCTGAATACAAATATTTTTTTGGTCGCCAAATGGCGACACTTTCGCTACAGGTAGAATTTAGGACTGGGATGACGGTGTCGCCATTTGGCGACGAGACTATTTTTATTCAAATGAATAGCATATTGAATTATCCAATTTATAAACATAATTCATAGTAGGGAATGAAAAAAGTTTAAAAGTAGAACCGAAAAAAATCACCGTATAATAGATCACACGCGTCGCCTCACGGAGCAGTCTAGACATCAGTGTCGCCAATAGGCGACAGTGTTAACTGCCTTATATAATAAATACTCTGGAGGAAGGATGCCACTTCGTGGATTTAGACTTGTATCATAAAAACACTTGTGCCAGACTCTGGAGAACTGAAGCCTCAAATGAAGGATGCTCACATGATGGTAAAAAGGGAAGGTAGAGAAAAATCGAGGACTCAGAGAAGAAGATGTAAATCCTGCGCTGCCCAAGGTAAACGTACAGAAACATTATACGAGTGCCGAGACTGTCCAGGTACTCCAGGGTACTGCTTGAATTGTTGCACTATCTACCATATGTAAAGTGAGGTGAGCTTCTGTTTTTTTCCTAATTATCGCTATATATTTTTTTATATAGGTCATCATTAGAAGATTCAACCGTTCTTGACCTGGGAGTTTTTGATTAAAGTTGATGAAATTATTATCTAGATTATATTCATTTTTGATTAGACGTTTAGTTAGTATCAAGTTAGATACTTTTTCGTATATTTGAAAATTCCACTTTGAATGTATTTTCTTTTTGTTTTAGAGAATACTTTAGATATTCTGTTGTATGTATGTTTCACTATTATACTTTGAAGTTGAGTCATTAATTTTCAGATAATGATTGTAGAAGGAAGATAAACCAAAATATGTGTGTAAAAATAAAAAAAAAATGAAAAAAAAATGTTACCTTGATTTATAAAGTATCCTCCCGACAAATATTTCAGTGCGGACCTGTATTTGATCGTGAGGTCTTGGAGCACCGGCATGCCGTCACCTGATTCACGAGCCCGTTGTACTACATTAACAAAGGCACGAGGGGTTGGTTGCACTCGATTGGGAAACCGATCCGCATAAACATGTGCCATTTTTTATTTCGTTTGAGCCACGCAACAGACACCACTATTCACTCACGCGTTACCGACTGACACACTGACTGTATACAAATGAATAAAATAATTGTAAAAACATCGTTCCAAATTCTTTCGCTTTTTTGTTTCCGATGCGATGAACCGATAAGGCGGTTGTCGCCAAACACGAGCACATAATATTATTATTGAGACAGGGCGGTACTCAAACTTCCAAAGGGCTATAACTTTGTTACTTTAATTTTACCAGGAAAATGGTAAAGGAAAAAAACCTTTCTTTTGATCAGATCTACTCACTGTTAAAATAAATGACTCAACTTCGAAGTCACCCTGTAATACTTATTAAAGATTTTTTTCGGTGCTACTTTTAAACTTTTTTCATTCCCTACTATGAATTATGTTTATAAATTGTTTGAATAGTTCAATATGCTATTCATTTGAATAAAAATAATCTTGTCGCCAAATGGCGACACTGGCAACCCAGTCCTAAATTCTACCTGTAGTGCCAATGTCGCCATCTGAACAAAAATTTTTTTTATTCAGGTAAGAAAAATACGATAATATATCTCTCTTTTAGTATCATTTAAAGCAATTTTCAGGCAAAAAATTAACCCTAATTACATGTAACATTTTACTGGCAGCGAACGTGTTAAAAAGATACGGGGTGTTGAAGTTTAGAAATAAAAAACAATTTTTTTTAATATCTTCAAAGCCGTCAACTGGAATGAAGTAAAATTTGGTATGTGACTTTACACCTAAGTATCGTCCACATTCAAAAGTCTTTACTTTTAAAATCAACGTGTACCAGGGGATGCAGGGGATTAGTGGCATTATTTTTCCAAATAAAAATAGTACGTCAAAAAAACAAAGCAGTCTAGACATAATCAAACTTGCTTCTAATTTCTTTCGAGTCTTGAAATTGAGGATAGGACGATCGGAGCTTGAAGCTCATGAAGGGGTGATTGATTATTTTTTTCTTTTCAGACGACACGGCTGTGGATGATACGGAGGACTATTCGATGATGGAAAGCGGCGTTGGTGAAAGCGAAGGCGGGGAACCGCAGGCTGGCACCAGCGGAACGGACGGCACGGGCGAAGGACAAGGTAGGTGGTTGATGGGATTCACACATCAACAGCGGTGGTTTGGTTCTTGAATTGACAATTTTCTGCGAGAAAAAAAATAAGATGCATAATACTGGCTACATTAACCCCCTCTAAATTTTTTTTGACCTGAAAGAAAAAGTTGTATATAAAAGGTATAGGATCTTTTTATGTAATATTTTTTTGCATAAAGGTGTTGTCGAAAAATGTATTTTTTTAAATGGAACACTCTGTATATTTTCAGTGAAAATCATAATCCCTTTTTTCTCGATTCGATAATACGGTTCGTTAAACTTACTTTTATCACTTTGGTCAAAAACTTGAAGTTTGTGTGTCATTTAATCATATGGTTCGAACTCGGATACACATGAGTAAATTACACAAGAAATTGAAATTTTTGGAAAAACTAACGAAAATAAAATATTTCGAATCAGAAAAATAGTTCCTGAAAATATACTGGGTATTCCGTTTAAAAAATACAACTCTATTCCTTAACACTTTTCTGAGACATGAAAAAACTTCACGTATATATATTTTTACTTGAGACGTGCCCATTGTCGTCTAGACCAGTTAGGTGAAAAAAAAGCTTCTATTTGGGTACTTCGACAAAATTCAGGCGAAGAGGACTCTTTATACTTTATTAGTCTCTAGCTTTTAATGAACTTTGCCATCATCATCAGGAGCTGCAATAACATTAAGAAGAAGTAGCAACTATTGAGCAAAATGACTTTAAATTACGTATGTGAGATTGTTGCTAAATGTTATTAAAGGTTAAATGTTTCCCTCAACTTAACCTTTAATAACATTTAGCAACAATCTCACATACTATTGTAATTTAAAGTCATTTTGCACAATATTTGCTACATTCTTAATGTTATTGCAGCTCCTGGTGATGATGGCAAAGTCCATTGAAAGCTAGAGACTAATAAAGTATAAAGAGTCCTCATTGCATGAATTTTGTCGAAGTACCCAACTAAAGGCGGAAGCTTTATAATTTTTTCATATATTATATTATTATATATATTATATATAAAATATAATATTATATATATAATATATTATATAATTTATATAAAATATTATATATATAAAAATATCTATATATCTATATATAATATAATTATATTTTTTTTTTTGGAAAGTCATATAAAAAAGTTTGAGGGGGTTAATTTACAGCTGGACACCCTGAGCATTATTCGTGTATGATTGATTTAATAAGAACTAGTTGCTATCCATTCCATTTTTTTTTTCTAAAATGAGCCCTCAACCACTGTCAGACTATGCTATGGATAGTGCTTCTTGACATTTAAATTTCTTCCTAGATTCTAGCGTTTTACAAGTGCTAAAAAGTTGCTGTGATATTGAGAATCGAAGAGTGCAGTGATATAAAAATTTACTGGTCTAAAAGAATCATAATTTGACATTTGTTTGCTTTGAAGAACCAAGCCACCGCTCTGTTCTAAGGCGGACGACGGGACTAGACGTTTAGGCAAATGTCAGACATGTATCTTGAAATAAAAAACGTATGTCGGAGGATTCGGTAGAACTGCAATAGAACGTTTTTTTCAATAATTTTAACGCGAATATTTAAAGGTGTTTCTGGAATCTGAAGAAATTGCGGTGAATTTGGCAACATTGCGAAAAAAATAATTGAGCATGTTCAGTATCCGATACGGTGCGTTTGCGTCTAACGTATTCATACTTTATTGTCCGTTTGATGCAAGCAACTGGAAAAACTGGTTACTGCGCATGGTTGTCGTTTTGAGCGCACTGTTGTCCAATATCACAAACCGCCTTTTATTGATCGGCGAGTCAACTGCGAATTATTTTAAAGTGTACGAAACGTATTTTTTGCGTTTCTGCATTTGTTGATACAATTTGCGGTAAAATTCTCCGTTAACGTTAAGGTTGGCAAATGAAGAGATAAACTAGTCACTGTCACATAAATCTTTGTCTTGGGTTATATTGCAGTCCTGTATTTTTGTCGAGTTCTTCTGACACTAATTGTGATATCATGCGAGTACATCGAAAAAAAAAGCTGTTGGCATTAGAGGTATGTCTTGAGTTGCGTGATATTTAAAAAAGCCCTCGGCATTTTTTCAAGAAATCGCGAGAAAGTCGACGAGGTCAACTGGATAGACAAATTGTGATGTTGCATATTTTACAAAAAAGCTGTTGGCATTAAAACTGTGTTATTGGTTGTGTGATATTTAAAAGAGCCCTTGGCATTTTTTTAAAAAATCGCCAGAACGTCGATGATGTCAACTGGTGAGATGATTGTGATGATTGCATATCGAACAAAAAGCTGTTGGCATTAAAAGTTGCATAAAAAAGCTTTTGGCATTTTTTTAATGATGCATCAACGAATTGCTATTCTTTGAATAAAACTGATGAGATAGGTTAAAAAAGCCATTGGCATCACATATATCGATAAAAAAATAACCGTCTCTTCATTTTACTGATGGATTTAGTGCAATAAAATTGCATTGTTCGAAATAGTTTCTTGGGAATTGCATATGGCAGATTGAATCAACAAGAAGAAACGGATCGAGCGCCATTTTATTTCTCTCGCAGCAACGTGGTTTTGCATGTCTGACATACTCGTAAAAAGTGTAAACAAGGTATTAATTATTTGTTTCTGCATTGCAACGATGTGTCAGTTCCGCCGTTCGTCTAAAACAAACTTTTGTACACAAAAACCTCAAGTAAAAATTATCGTGAGTTGAGTTTGTTTTTTTTTTTGAACACATTCTGCAACAAATGCGACAGTTATTTCTTCGTTTTATTCTAGTCATTCTTTGAATCAAGCATCGTAGTTTTTATTTCCAATTACAATTGTTTTTTGTTTTGGTTTTACTTGAGGTTTTTGTCTATGCAATTTGTAATTTGCTTCTACGATTTTACGACATGTTGTTTGTAGTTTGATTTTTCTAGTTTGTAAGTTTTTTGTTGTGTTTTTATTTCCATTTTTGACATTTATATTTTTTTATTATAAATGTCTTTGTTTCATTCAGAGCAATTTGGCCGATTTGGAGAGATTTTCAAATCGGCATGCTATATTTTCGAAAATTTCACACATTGTGGCTGTTTGATTTTCGAAAGGGCCACTCGATTTTACTGGCGATGGAAGAATGCGTAAATTGGTATCGGTCTTACAGGAACATTGTTTTTTGTGGATTGATAACAATTTATGCATAATTTTTACATAGTTCTAAAATTTTGGAACTGTGTTGTGTATTTGGCAATTATTTCATTAAATAATTGCCATCTAAAATCATTTTCGAGTTCAGTTTGATTTTTCAACATCATCAAAATGATGTTGGCAGTTGAAACTTCAAAACAAGCATAGTGATTTTATTCAGTAATGGAAATTGTGCAACACAGGGATGAATTGACAAAAAATAACCAATATTATGAGCCACATAATATTGTGATATTTCTTTGTAAATTCTTGTTTCTTGTCTGATGCTTCAGTACTTGAAGTATCTTCGTGTATCTGTGAAAGATAGTGTTTTATCAGATGAGTGCTTCCTGATTGAAAATTTTGTTGTTACAAGCCATAATTTTTTTAAATTACTATGAAATCGGATATTTCAATATTTTTGGAATATCTGCTGCTGAAGTGCTTTTAATTAGAAATCGTTAAACCATTTATTATCTACAATCAACTGATTTGATGTTTTGCTCATGGTTCTGAGCAAAAATCGTTATTATCAAAAGTAAAAAAAGAATATGTCATTAACAAACCGATTGAATGTTAAGTGTGAAAGTATATCACAAGTTTGTGATATGCGTCGTTGGAAATAGTGATTTGAAAAACCATGTGTCTCTAGTGAAACATTATTTATTGCAACTCAATTTTCTCTACTCATGTGAGCCTAAATAGTTTTCGAGATTTAACAATGTTTTGCTTTCCATACAGAATTTCCATAGTTTTTATAGCTACTTTCCTATGAGGAATTTCATGGACTTTCTGTAAACGTAATCGCAGTCATAATTAATGTCAATACTTTTTGACAATAAGTATGCCTGCAATTATTATTCTTCATGATGACACCATAATTATATCAATCATCCAATAAACTGTCAACGTCTATATTGGATCCAGAAATTTTGTTTGCGTATTAAAAGTGATGAATATTAAAAGCAAAGTGAAAAGAAATATTGAAGTACGACCCGCTTGTTAAAGCGCATCTTTGATCTGGTACAAAAAATTGTGCGTTATTTTGATTGAAAATTGATTCTAGTACCGAAAATAGCAAAACGTGAAAAGACTCCTGGATTTTGATTGTGTAAAATTTTGCATAATTGGCATCCACTATTTTGAAGTTTTCAGGTTTTGTTATTTTTCTTTACCAGATGCAAATTTTTGGTCACCTTTGAAAGCCATCATTTGTCGGATTTTATATTGTGGGCTCGTAATTTCCGTACGGTGACGTAGAAAAACGTATTTCAGTTCGCGTCGGCACTATGACCGCTAGATGGCGTCGATGGTGGCGATATAGTGCATAACGTATATCGACTATTTAATGGTGAATTTGGTTACACTTTCGGGAAAGATATGTCGTACAATCGTGGCAGAAGACAAAAACCATGACTCGATTTTTCTTTTTCATCACGGCAGACGTTGAATGGTTCTTAGAAACCACCAAGGGTTTGTCGAGCAACGGCATTGTCGTTGGTGGTTTCACTTACCATCAGAACATCACCAAGGGATCATCTGGAACTAGGTAAGGGTGTGGATATTTTCAATAGCTCGGGCTTTGACAGTTTTCCAATTTTAAACGGAATAAATGTTTGATGGAAATTAGACGCTTAACCAACAATTTTCTGTTGAAAATTGGAAATTTTCAAGGTCAAACTCTAACAAAGCTAAACTCAATTTCAAAATATGAATCGATTCAAATAATTATATTTTAAAATTGAGTTTGACGGGGGTATATATCTTAAAATTAGGATTATTCTAAAGTTTATCGCGAAAATGACCCGATTTTTGTGTATGAGTATTCACCTTTCGTGAATTTTTCTAACGTTTCATACCTCCATGGTTATGAAGACATGCTAAGAACAAAGAGCATCGATTTCAAAACAACAGGTTTATAAAGACGTTACGTAAATTGTAATATTGCTGGAAAAAATCTACAGGGAGTATAATGTCGACATGTTTTGACGGCAGGTAACCCTAAAGTAATGGCATGTCAATTAATATTGAAAAAAATTGCGTATGGAAAATGTCGGGTTCTTCAAATCAGGAATGGAAATACGTTGTAGTTTTGATGTCTG